AATGACAAACATGTCATACCTTCCTGCACTGTGGAGTGGTTTTGCACAGGCAGCCAGATCCTCTTCTAAGGTCCTCCTCAGGCACGCCTGGCCCTTCCATTCTGCCAAGTGCCCCCAGAGCAAGCAGTTTGCTATGGGGGCACCTGAGCAGGCTTTCCCCCTTTCTGCTGCTGTGTGTCTCGGCCCTTCCCCCCCACTCTCTCCTCACTGGCTGTGATTGAATGTAGTGAGAGCCAGTGGTTCCCGCTACTGTTTCTGGTAATGAGGAGGGAGAGACCCAGTACAACTGGGGCTGTCATGCACATCGCTGGATCAAGATGGGGCTCTGGTAGATAGAGGGGTTGTTAAAAAAAAAAAAAAAAAAAAAATTGAGCTTTTATAACCACTTTAAAACTAGCAGTAAAGTTGCACCTGGGCAGGGCACTGCACAGAACAATACAGAAGTGCCTTGCCATGACAGTGTGGCTTCACATGCATTTCCAAAGAGCATACACTTGGCTTTTTTGCTCTTCCACCACTCTATCTGGAGTGAGGGAATATACATTGATTTAAGTTGCTGGAGTCATGGCTTAGACAAGGCTATGTACTCTGTATGACAGCGCTGATTGACCCAATGCTGTCAAGTGCTCCTCTATACCTGGAAGTATTTTGTGTTTTATTTGGGTAACAGTACTTAAACAGAATGGTGGTGGAATGAATGGTACGTGTATGCTGAGGGTACAAGGTGTAAAGGTTAACTTAAAAAAAAAAAATAAATGCGCTTTTTTCACATGTAAAAAAAAATATGCATTTACTATTTTATTTTTTTTTTTTTTCTTTGTAGGAGCCTGAAAAGCATTACAGATCGTCTGTGCGATGCAGGGCTCCTGCAGACTGTCAGTGTAAGCTGTCTGCTCGTATGAGCAGTCTGTTACTAAAATGACAGGAGGAATCGGTGGACTATGAGAGCACTCAACAGAGCATTGAGTCCACTGAGAACTACAGGCCATCAGCTGCAAAGGCTATCGGTACTTGTCGTTCACTCATTCATAGAACTCTGTGAATCGGTGACAGTTGTGTGGGTGCAGAGAGAAGATCCACAGCCTGCTATCATGGGGAGGGGGGGGGGGGGGGGGGGCGGGTTGTCAGAGTACAGCAGGAGCGAAACATACATGTTCCATTCTGAAAACAGGTGGAACATGTTCCCAAAGGTGAACTTATCCTTTAAAGCAAACCTGTTGCTTGGCGAAATGTAGGTTTACTAAAATAAGAAAAAAAACTATCATGAGAGAAGGGCAGTCATTGCGGATTGTCTTCTCTTTCCTGGTTATGTTGACCCTCTGGCTTTAAAGTAGAACTCCTGCTGAAAATAATAAAATAAAAATTAATAGCCTATTAAAAGACAAAATAACAAATACAGCTTTTGCTGCAGTATTCACATTCAGTATTTTTTGCTGGATGTTGTCCTCACTCTGATAGCCAGCGTCATTTAACCCACTTCTCTGAATCCAGGTCATCCTGGACCCGCTCCTAGACTGTGACTGGACAATGAATGGAGAGAAGAGCAACAGAGAGATGATCTCATCACTGTGCTATTTGTCTCCTCCTCAACCTGCTTGCCAACACATGAGCTGATTGGCTCCTTGTGCTGCTTCTTCTTGATAAGGTCCATCCCTGCCGTACGGGGACTGCAAGAGGCCAATACAAGGACAAAGTTAGGGACTTGCACCTATCGTATTAACAAAAAACGTTTTTGATAAAACCAATAAACTATTGGAACAGAAGAAGATTTTAAAGGAAAGGTACAAACAAGTATAACATCCACTTCTTGCTTTACTGTGGCTGATCAGAAAAGGTTACAAGTAGGTTGCAAGAAAAGAAAAACACACAAAAGGGTGCACTCTCCTTGTGCATTACCATTGTAACAAATGAATTTATTAAACACATAAGTGGATACTCACAAAAAGATATTGAAAACAGACTTGGAGCCAAATTTATCAATCCCACACAATGGGGGTTCTGTGGTACAACTGCCCAGTTGGATTTGTTGATGCGTTTCGGGAGTCGCACTCCCTTCCTCAAAGCTTCAGCCATTCCAACCGGGCAATTGTACCACAGGACCCCCATTGTGTGGGATTGCTACATTTGGCTCCATGTCTGTTTTCAAAATCTTTTTGTAAGTATCCACTTGTTACATTTTTAATAAATTAATTTGTTACAACGGTAATGCACGAGCAGAGTGCATCCTTTTGTGTTTTTTCTTTTGTTAGTACCAAGATTCCCTGATCTTTAGGGGCTTCACCTCAAAAAGTGACAGACACCATTTTTCACTGTGGAGCAGGAAGATTTGAGCGCTGGTGACTTTTTTATTTTGGTAGGTTGCAAGAAACAGCTAACAGTCTGAAATGAACATCATTTATTTAAGCAAATAACAAAACTAGGTCCCCTATGAGAATTGGGGACATCAAGTACTCTACTGTTGTAATATTCCAAAAAAATAAGGATTTTTGTCAAAACCAATCATATAATATAATCAACTATGTCCTGTATGGCTCTGTGGATTCCCACCAACCCCCCCCCCCCCCCCCCGTCCATAGTAGGGGGAAGGGAAATCTCACAGGGCTATTAGTTACCTGACTCTTCAATAAGCATAATAAAGAAGAAGGCAAAAGGATGTGGTAGGGGGGAGGAAGCGAAGAAAAGTAGTAGTGAAGGTGTGTACCCTCTATTCACGATATATGAATCCCTCCATCCCTATCAAGGGATTTGAGAGATATTTTATCCAGGGATCCCAGGTTTTCTCTAAGTAGGCCATCCTATTGTGGAGAATGGTGACCCATACGTCCATTGATCATTATCCACGTCAGTTTAGCCTTTAGAAGTCCAAAGGGGACCATAGGGGATTTCCATGACCGGACAATGGAGATTCTGGCAGCAGTGAATATGAAGGTAATCGGGCATCTCACATGTCTTGGTATTCCCTTCACCGGTCTCCCCAAGAGGGCCTTCTGTGGGGTCTTAATGAGATTCACCTGGGTAAGTGAATATATAAAATTATATGTGCGCATCCAAAACTGCTTTATTTGTGACAGGTCCACCATGTATGGAGGACTGTTCCCTCCTGTCTGCAACTGGGAAGCTCCCTGTACTGTGGACGCCAGGTGGGCTGATACTAAATACCACCATAGAAAAGATTTTATTATTTGCCTTGAATGTGTCATGATATGATTTAAAGTTAAATTGCGCCAGTTTACCCCATTCCGCTGTGTCCATTGTTTCCTTTAGATTTCGCTCCCATCTTTCCATATAGGGTAGTTTAATGGGGTCCTCATGCCATAATTCTTGGCGCAGGACATAGAATTCCAGGTCTGCCTCTGGCTTTCATCCACATCATGTGGCTAATTGTGGTAGATGGGCTGATTCTAGTTGCATCCACAAAGGGTTTGCATGTTGGGATTGGAAACGGACCAATGGAGCCAGTTGTGCCACGTAAAAGTATTTAAACAAATCTGGAACTCCCAACCCCTCCTTTTTCATTTTGGGATGACAAGTGTACTTCTGTTCACTCTGGGTCTTTTGTACCCCCAAATAAATTTTAGTACCTTTTTGTTGAAAAAGATGCAAGTCTGACCTATTAATCAAGATCAGTAGAGCGTGGAAAATATACAGAATTCTTGGCAAAATGTTAATTTTCACCGAGTACAGCCTACCGAACCATGAGGTGGGATGTAGGTTCCATTTGGATAGGTCATCCTGTAACTTGCATAGGGGCGGGTAATGCTTGCTGTATAGAGTGTCAATGGAAGGAGTTAATAAGATTCCCAGATAGGGAAGTGTATCCGCTTGTGGTAGGGAATGAATCATGCGGTCATTTAACATTAGGTTGAGAGCTGGGGATTTAGTATGTTTGACTTTAAGGCCTGAAATTGCCCTACATTTTGATAGGTCACTGTACAGGTTGGGTATTGAGGTGATTGGAGATGTTAGGAGCATTAAGAGGTCATCGTCAAATAGAGCAGACTTGTGTTCCCTGTCTCCTCATGGTATACCCTGAATGTTTGGGTTTTTTCTTAGTTTAATAGCCAGGGGCTCCAATGCCAAAAAAAATAGTATAAGGGACAGGGGGCAGCCCTGCTGAGTGCCTCTATGAATGGAGAGGTAGTCCGAGCTGTACCCCTTGAATGACAATCTGGCCCACATGATCGATGTATAATATGTCTTGTCAGGTTTTCAATCTGTGACTGCATTGGGGATGTGCTGTATTTCTTATACTTCTGTCACTTTGATGCCCAGAGAGAAAATAGGTATTCGGGTGTCATCAGTACAGAAAATCATTGACCGCAATAAAGAACTGTGTTTTTTCACTTTTGTCTGTGTCCTTGGAAAGACTACCAGTCCCGTTTCTGTCCTGATCATGAAGAGAAATCTCCCTATTAGGGACATAAATGGCAACAGAAAAAAAAACTGTCAGAGGCACTAACCTTTCCTTGCTCAATTCAAAACATATCATTTTGGAGTCGGGCCTTAAAGTAGTAAAGCAGGGAGGTCAGTATGACAGCCCAGCATCGTCAGGAGAGATTGGCAGTACAACATTTCTAGTTACTGTTTCATTAGTTCCTAGGCACTTCTCCATAGCCATAGTTTCCATACACATCACTGAGAACCACTAACAAGCCTGAAACTGTTGTATGAAGTGTGAAATAAATGGTTGTTTAATAGGTTGGGTCTGGGCTGTAGACCAGAGGTTCAGGATGCTCCATTGACCAATAAATTGCATGGTTCCAACCATTATTCTAAAGTGAGGTGCCCCCAACCCACTTTTGTCTTTTTTTGTGCATTGAAAACGAAATTACAAAGATTTAGGCTCTACTGTGCTCTTTTGGTACCTTTCAACCTATATCTCACTTTTAAAAATGTCCTTTTTTTTTTTTTTTTTTTATTCCTTGTGGAGCTGGGAAAATTTGGAGGATTCCAGCACTGGTTAGTTCCTAGTATGCTTACATGTGCTCTTTGTGTTGTAGGTGTGTAAGCGTATGGATTTGGAGTGTCAGCGCATGCTCAACCAAGGATTCCTGCGGGTGGAACGCTACCACAGCCTATGTCAAAAACAAGTCAAAGCACAGCTGCCCAGGTGTGTACTTGCTGTATTGCTTTAGGATGCGATTGTTAAAGCCTAGCTCACTTTTAAATAGTTTGTTTAGGCCAAGCTTGAATTCTATGAGCAGTGCTTAGCCTGACTCGATTTTGTTATGGCAGCAAACTGGAAGTCCCCATACTGCTGCTGGAACACAGGTCTTTATACTGAATGTAGATGATGCTACGTATAGTTTATACAGTGCTGACTGGATGCGTCAAAGCTGGCCAGGACTACAGGAATACACCGCAGATAAATAGTTAAAGGTATATAATGTGGAAACTGCCATTGCTTACCTCTCCTTCTGAAAATGACAGTTGCCTGGCTAGGAATTTAAAGTAGAACTAAAGGCAAACCCTTTTTTTTTTTCTTCTTTTCTTCTTTTTTTTCTTCTTCATTATGGATAGAGTAAGGCAAGGTTATAACCCCTGTAAGGTTCATTTTTGACATGTGTCCCATTTCCATTTCCCTTAATTTCCTGTCCCATAGCCAAAACAGAAAGTGAGAGGAAATCCTTCCAAAGTGAGGGAATCCCTGGTTGTCACTAGGGTCACCAGAGCTCATGTCCCCATTGGAAGGTATCCCCAACATTATTCTGGGGACAACCCAAAATTTGGGATTTGTTTTTTACTTTCACATTTGGCGATAATGGTAAATGAGACTAAGAGGATGAATCTCTAGGGACACAGACCGCAATAAAACAATGAATGTTAGTGAATCACTTGTGATGCAATGCATGTGCATTGGAGGTCCATTGGATTGGTACGTTGGGGTGCCATTTAAATTTAATAGCAGCAAAACCTGCTAATGTAAGTAATGGGTGTAACCTGTGCATTACTGCAATGCAAAAGTGGGATTTTAAAAATCAAGCATTAATAGAATGGCAAGATACAGAATACTATCATGACACAGTACATAACATGAGTCAACGTAAAAGTGACCGCGATGCGAAACCGCACCAGTATAATGATTTCCATAGCAAGGACACACAGTAGCATCGCAAGGTAAAGCATGAAGTTGTAAGACAGACAGGATTATAAGTAAAATATGAAATATACAATAAGGCAAGCAGACACCACATATAATCAGCCAGAGAAAGAAAGGTGTGTGGTGGTGGGGGGGGGGGGGGGTGAATAATGCTAGTGGAGCATAGTGGCAGGCAATAAGTGAAACCACAAAGAGTGCATTAAACTCCCTTTCCGTACCTCATATTACGGTATGTTAGAATGAGCATGTTAATCAATATAAGGATCACACACATGTATGCAAAAGTGTGATTTAAATCTTAACATTTAACCTTTTCCCATGCTATCCAAAAATCCTGTTAAAATTAAAAAATTACCTGTTCTTTTCTTTTTTTTTTTTTTTTTTTTTTATCAAATACTTTTTTCTTAAGCTTTATTGACGTGAATATACAATGACATTTTTACTTGTACAAGAATATTTCCAGCATAGGACTTTTACAAATGCATACGACAGTGTTAGTGTGTTCATTACATGTAAACAGTTAACAAAACAAATAACCAAATAGAAATACAAACTCCATGTGGCCAGTTACAATGGTAATCCTAGAGCAGGACAACAGTCCTAAGTTACTCCAAAGCATATTTACTCATGTGAGAGTGAATTGCCCTTTTACAGTCTCCCTTAATAACTGGCCCTGTTGACTTACAGTAAGGACCATGAAAGAAATAAAAGGGTAATATCTAAAGAAGCCTGTCCATAATCAACTGAGGGGGATATAAACCTGGGGTTTCCTAAATAGTCATACATTTCCTGGCATTATGTTTATTTCTCATGGATCAGTGTGGAGTGCACCTGGCCAATCCATTGTTGTAGAGGTGTAAGGAGACAGCGAGAATTGAGTTATTAATTTATTAGCAACAAAAAGAACTCTTAATATTGCAATAAATATAGGGGGTGTAAACATTTTCTCATCCAAGTCTCCCAGGAGACAAACAGGATCTTGTGGTAAGGGAGTATTAAATATTGAGGATATTGTTTGTAAAACTGTTGTCTAGTATCTGAAAAGCTGCGGGCATCTCCACAACATATGTATTAAAGAATAAGCTCACCTTCAAAAACCTTCATTTTTTGTAAAAAATGCACATCTTTTTGTAGGTAAAAAAAATGTGCATATATTTGTTTTAACTAGGAGCCTAGAAAGCATTGCACCCTCGATTAGCAGATTGCAGGTGCCATGCAGGACTATTGCAGACTTGTCAGTGTACCTCTCTGCTTGTACCTCGTACACACTGGCAGGAAGAACCAATGAGCTACCACCTTGCTCAACGGCGCAGTGGTAGTTCATTGAGAACTACAAGCTGGCAGCCGCAAAGGCTGTTGGTACTTGTAGTTTTCCATTCACAGAATTCTGTGAACGAATGAGGCATTTTCTTTTTAAATAGCGTAAGCTTGTGGGGCTAGAAGATCCCCCTACTAGCTGTTACTAGATGCAGTGGAGAGGGAGGGCGGCGGCTTCGGGAGTGGGAACATGTTATGTGTTCCACCCTAAAAATGGGTGAAAACATGTTCCTAAAGGTGAACTTATCCTTTAAATCCTGCTCGTCTTTATTGCATTTGGAACAGATGGGGGAGTCGTGTCTTCCCCAGGAAGAATAATTGCAGCAATTTCTGTGAATTGGATAAAGTAGTGGGATGGAATCCAAAACTGCTTCCTATTTCTCTCCCTCCAGTTCACCTACATCTGTCTTCCATTTCCTCCTGCGAGGTAAGCCAGCAGGATCTTGGGCTAGGGTTAGGAGACAGGCATAAATGTGTGAAATCCCTTTTACTAGTTTCTGACATTGCATCATAGAATAATTGTGTTTCTTCTAGTATCAAGGTACTATGGAGGGCTTGAGTGTTAAGGGCGTGGTGCAACTGTGAATATTTGTAGAAGTTCTGTGATTATTCCCAGACTATAATTGGGCAATGAACCGAATACCCATTGCCTGCCAGGGGAGAACCCTTCTAGTTTAGCAAGTTCCACATAGCTACAGCTACGCCACAGTAGACTGCCACTCAGCCCCTAACCTGCAAGCTCAATTAGAGATATGTCCAAAGTTGTTACTAACAAGGATACCGTAGGGCAATTTTGTGGAACAGAAGGAACAATCATTTCTAAATGCGACATTGCCATTAGGTCTGTGTAATAGTGGAGCAGTAACTTACTTATGGAGTCCATAATATCCACCACATCCCAACCGATCAGATGTTGAAATTGGGAAGCTATGGAATAAATCCTATTGTTTGGTCTGCTAAACCACCTTGATCTTTATTGTACGGTAGTAAGTTTAATTCTGGCCTCTTGCCTTTTTTCTAAATGAGCTGCCTGAAATGTGCATCTATATGAACAAACTATTTTCATGGTATCCAAATGGACAAATTATGGCGTATGTAAAGTAATTGTGGTGCCCAGAACATTGTGATCAAAAAACTCCTCTGACTACTGATAAGGGTGATTTACACCAGCTCAAGCATTTCTGTTTAAAGGAGTGTAGGATAGGCTGGAGGTTCAGACCTACATACGTCTGAAGGTTAGAGGTAACTCCCAACAATTTTAACGAATGGGAAAACAGTACCCATTTCTGCTAGACTATTGTTCAATCTGTCTTCTGGAGTATTCCTTTTCAACCACTAGATGTCCTTCGTGTTCCACCTTCAGTCACGCCCAGTATTATTTAACCAACCTTGAGCCCAGGTTCATGGACCTGCTCCCATCCTATGACTGGAAAGTGAAAGGAGAAGCAGCACAGTGATGGGCTCATCTCATTCTGCTTTTGCTTTCAATTAGCTGGATTTGTCAGCACATGAACAGAAGGGCCTCTTGTGCTGCTTCTCCTTCCTACAGTCTAGTCTCTGCTTTAAAGGAATTACAAGAAGCTGATACCAAGTCCAGATTCAGATAATTATGCTGCTTTTTTTTAAGGAATTCAGTTAATCTTTACAGAGCTGCAAAATAATTTGTCTTTTTACCTTGGGACCATTCTGTTTAGCCCCTTAGTCACGTGTATTTGCATCTAACTATGTGACTTTTGCACAGGAGGGAATCGGAGAGGCGGAAATCACTCACTGGCACGCCATGCCGACATCCTGGCTGCGGTCGAGACTAGGCTTTCCTTACTCAACATGACATTTATGAAATATGTGGACTCTAATCTTTGTTGTTTTTATTCCTGGGAAGGTGAGAAGTTAGTTATATAAATGTTGTGGGATTTGTTTTGTTTTTAGGAGATGTGGGGGTTTGTTGTTGTTTTTTGTTTACAACCACTTTAGGAATTTACAGCTGAAATTCAGGCAAAGAGTGGTATAAACCGCTAAGATACAAATATGACATTTGCCAAATGACTTGTATTTTTGTCAATTGAGTTTAAGATTTAAATAGGGTATACATTTACTTTATGTGCACCAAATGCCTTTGCAAACCCAAATATTATATAAAAATGTTGATGAATACATCTTTGTGCTGCACATACATATTTCCCTGTGTGGTCCCTACTAGGTCTGAAACTAGCTTTTCAGAAGAAGACGTGCATATATGGAAGGAGCGCCAGACCAGAAAATAGGAGTCCAAATTCATTTATTGATATTGTGTTAAAAGGCATCCAATTCGTTTTGGGCTTGACCCCTGAAATGCATTGGCTGTCTTTTAACACAATATCAATAAATTAAATTGCACTGTCTTATTTATTTAGTCAGGCGCTCCTTCCATACATGCACATCTTCTTTTGGTAACCTGCTGGAGTACCCACTGGAGAGTAGCCTTGTCTGTTGTGAGCAGCCTAACCTGAGCCAGCGGGCTCTTCAAATGTTTTCTGCCCTCTCACTACCTTGTTTAAACTCGCATCAGTCCCAGCGCCTCTCTTGGATTCCCTTCTTTTTTTACATTTAAACTAGCTTTTAGCCCCAGTCAAGCGATCTTGAGGATACCATGAGTACTGCTTTTTTCACCGAAATAAATGGCTCACATGCGCAGTAAGCAGTGGCTACTTTTGGAGTAAAGGCTGTGCGATTCTGAGCGGGGCACTCAATGAAAGTTGCTGGATCCGGGTTAAAGTTAAGCATAACACCTAGTGGGGAGGAGAAAGAGGGAAAAAAAATTCTGTTTAATTAAAAGACTCTCTTGCGATTTGAAAAAAAAAGGCTTTAATACATGCCTGTCCCAAAAGCCTTGACACCGATGTTTGCTGTCTTGAACCGCTTACCTTGCTAACAGCCTACATCTGACACTTACTGAATTGTTCAATGTCTAGTTCCATGCTGCTTGCTGTGGTTTTTTCCACTAGTCCCTACGTCCTCACAGCAAGACATTGAGGATCATCAGAAGGACTGCTAAGTATTAAAGTGTATCTAAACCTGAGAACAAAGATGTGATATATTACAGCTGTCCTGTCCTTGGATGTGGTGGCTACATTTTTTTTACTCGTTTATCCTGCCAGTAAGTCCTACTTTAACAAACCCAGCCTTCCCACAAAAGTAGAATTTAGAGTGTTAAGACAAACCATTTATTGGCAGGAGTGCTTACAGTGGTCAGTTTTTAGCCATTTACTTGAAACCCCCCCCCCCCCCCCCTAGCACCCCTCCTGTTTCTTTAGTTACTTCCTTGTTCTAAGCCTAGGCAGATTATGCCACACATCCCTGGTGCTTCAGGAGAAAAGGGAGGTTTCTTAGCTCTGCCAATGCCTAAGCTAAGGGCAAATGGATTTCAGGGAGTAAATGGTACCTGCCCTTACTCAAAATGGCCGCTGCCAGAAATACCAGGGGGTGTTTTTCAAAATTGATTCTCAGCAAAATAAAGCACGGAGAGACATGTATGGATGGGTGAGTTTGCTTTGAATATTAACCATAAATTAAATGGCATATTTGGTTTGTGGTGCTCCAATGTGGTGGCGTTCCTCTTTAAGTTCTAGTTTGTTAGTGACTTGGGTAAAGCCTAGGTAAATCTACTTGTCTAACACTACCCTTTCTACAGGCTGACAATGCTGCTGTCCAAGGGTGCCTACTCTGCTCCTCCATAGTTACAGTGGAGGAAGGACTACTGTCACCCTAGGACAGGAAGTGTGCTCCTGGCAGGATCACCAGCTATTTTCTACACTTGCTGAAAATGTACTTGGGCTGCATTAAGGAAAACAAATTTAGCCACCACATTTAAGGGCTGGAAAGCTGCAATATAATACATTTTTTGTTATTGGGTTTTGATATGCTTTAAAGCAGATTTTTAATCTGCTTTTATCCCTCCTTTCCCCTCTCATCAAAATGCCAATTACTTTTTTTTTTCCCTAAATAAAATGTGTTTTCATTATATACCGTTTTTTGCACATATCAAAATGCCTTGATGAATATATCTCATTCTGGAGTGCTCATTTCTAGGCGGGCTGTATTTGCATGTAGACCACGTTAGGCAATGCCCACATGTTGTTGTGCTGAGCCTCCATGATTGAGAGAACTGAATTGGACAGCACAGTGGCTAAATGGTTATCACTTCCGCCTGGCAGTACTAGGGTTGTTGGTTCATATCCCAACTACGGCACCACCTGCCTGGAGTTTGCATGTTCTCCCTGTGCCTGCGTGGGTTTCCTCCGGGTACTCCGGTTTCCTCCCACACTCCAAAGACATGCTAGTAGGTGAATTGGCTCCTGTCTAAATTGGCCCTAGTATGTGTATGTATGAATGTGAGTTAGTGACCTTAGATTGTATGCCCCTTGAGGATTAGGGACTGATGTGTGTGTGTGTGTGTGTGTGTGTGTGTGTGTGTGTGTGTGTGTGTGTGTAAAGTGCTGCGTAAATTGACGGTGCTATATAAGTACCTGAAATAAATAAATCTAACAAATAAAAAGGACAGGCTGAGAAGAAACGGGCTGAATATCCTCCAGCTAGGAAATGAAGCAGATTGTATCTGACTTGTTGCAGCTTCTAATGCACACTGTGAGAAGCTCAGTATGTCGTGAAATCATAGTTAGGTATTTCTGTACTGGGAGGGCAGGAGCCTGTACAGCTGTGCAAGATTGAAGGTGGTAAGGCCTGACTTCAGTTTGAAGCCATTTCTGTGCAGGCTGGCATTTTGTGACTAAGCTGCTTTACGGGAAATGGTGCTATGATAACTTGTCTGTTCATGTGAAAGGCCCATCAATGAGCACATCTTCAAACAAAATGAAATGGATCACTTTCTCTTTTTTGATGCATGAACAATATGCTCAAGGTGTTTGTTGTCAAACAGGTCTGGCTCCTTACTGTGAAGAGCAGGTGGCTCCTCTGCAGATTTGCCAGCATGTCCTGAAATAATGACTCTCTATGTATGCGGTTTACTTTAATGATCACTAGGTGTCACTCTTGAAGCACCGCTTATTCTAAGCTATGACAACATGAAGGAAAAATTGCTGCTAGTAACCTTATGTGGTCAGTGCTTATTGTTGTCTTTGGAATTTTTATTAAACAGTCTGGAAATTTATCGTTTTGGCCACACTCTTTATTTTACACACTACAGATCCTTTTAAAGGGACCAGGCTGGGTTCCTACACAAATGCAAATGACACTACTATGCCTATTATTAGGTTACTAATACCTCTGACAGCTCTTGTCTCCTACCTTCCCTTCTGTGCCGGAATTGCAGCCTCCATAAGACTTTTAGGCATTTATCACTTCTGAGAGTGTCACATGGCTTGTCTCCCCTCTCCGCCTCTCCCCATTACTGGCACCATCCTATAAACCCTTATGTTGTTGCTCTGTCTTGTGTGTCCATCACCATGTGTGCCAGGGATGCCGGTATTCTACAGTCCAGAAAGCGTTGAGCCTTGCGAAGGCTGAAATGCTGATGCAGAGAGGGGGCAAACGCTACTCAACGAGGTTTCAGTTTACTTCTCTTGTAGGGGAATACGATTTGTATTTGTTTAGGGATCTATTAAAAGGACAAAACCGCAAAGGCACAGAAAAAAATTAAGCATCTTAAAGTGGAGCTCCCCCCGGAAGGGGAAGCCCCACTTGTTTTCACACCTCTACTGCCATGTTTGGCACGTTTTGCGTGGGGATGGGTGGGTTAGAGGGGGGGCAGATACCTGGTACCCCTCCTTCCCCCCACAGTTTTCTGGGAAGCTTCACTGGACCCAGAAGACTACAGGACCATGCGCAGTAGGAAACCAGCTGTGAAGCCTCCGGTTTCCCTTACTTGCTATTGCTATGTCTACGCCAGGAACCCGGAGGCTAATGAAGAACTAGCCTTGGTGAGAACAGTGCTGGACCCCTGGACAGGTATTGTCCTATTAAAACTCAGCAGTATTCGTAGCTGCTGACTTTCAATTTTTTTTGAGGGGAGCCTGGAGCTCCTCTTTTTAAATTCTTTTTTTTTTCCTGATAAAAATTTTTGTTTATTAGCAATGTGCCTATGAACTTTCTGTAAATTTACTGCGTCAGGAAGAGTCTAGCAGAGCCCCCTCCCTCCTGCAATGTCATAGCTCTGATAGTCTTCGGGGGGCTGCAGGCATCACATCTAGCATGATGTCACCCAGCAGTGTTTGGATGTCTGCAGAAGTGAGGTTTTTACAGGTAAATAAAATGCCTACAATAATGCACCTTAAAACTTATGGGAATATTTTTTTTCTTAAATTGTCTGCTGACAAATCCAGCATTGTTGTTTGCTAAAAAAAAAAATCAAATGTTGAATATTGTTCATCCCATGTTAAATACCCACTTTGTATGTACCATTAAAGTGATATGAAAGGCTGTTTTTTTTTCTCTCTTTCATACTTGCCTGCTCCATGCAAAGGTTTTACACAGGGCTGCCCTATTCTCCTCTTCTTGGGTCCCCTGCCAGAGCTCCTGCCCCTCCCCCCTGCGGAGTGCCCCCAATAGCCAATCAGGTGTTCATGCTTGCTCCCTAGCCCCGCTCTGTGTTTATAAGTAAGGTTAAAAAGCTTCAGCCTTTACAACCAATTTAAGCATCAGAGCCAGAGGCTGCTGACTTTATACTCTGTACACACAGAATTCAAAAGAAGGCTCCTGCCAAGTCCCTCACCCCTGACCAACACTGTTCTGATGCTGGGACCCAGAATCATATAAGCAGCAGGTGTTAAAACAAAGTGTTGTGAATACCTGTCAGTTTTAAAACTGAGCCACCAGTTATTTTTTAATGGTCCTTTGGGGGAAGTGAAGTCCAGTGCTGCAAACTTAAATCCCTGTCCTCTGATGCAGTGTGAGTGTCCTTACAGTGCAGTGACAACTAAGAAAAGCCAATTCTAGCACACATCATACTAGCTAGTCATGTGCTCATATTATGCCATGCAGAAAACATGGAACTTGCTAATCATCTCTAATGATGAATGTTCTCCTTTCAGGTTATCGATGAAATCTACAGTGTGCTGCGGTATGTCAATTCTACGAGATCCCCACAGCGGGCTCACGAGGTTCTGCAGGAATTGCGGGATATTTCGTCTATGGCAATGGAATATTTTGATGAGAAGATAGTTCCCATACTTAAAAAGAAGTTGCCGGGTTCGGAAGTGTCAGGTCGACTTATGGGCTCTCCTCCAGGTACTGTCTTTCTGTGATTATACTCTGAATAGCAGGGAGAGGGAATTTGGGTTTTAATGGGGCAATATCCACCCTGGTTTGACAGTCAGCCATTGTCAGTAAATGCTGGTTGTGTCTGCCATCATTAATCCAAATTCCTACATCCTTTTGACATTGTGAGCCAAGATCAATTGTCATTCAGTGTCTCTAAACATCTCAAAGGCACCAAACTCTTCTACAACCCTAAACTTCTTATTGCGACTGTTTACTTAATGGAGAATTATTATTATACAGGACTTATATAGCGCCAACAGCGCTTTACATTATGGAGGGAGACAGTACAGTAACAATACAGTTCAATACAAGAGGGATTAGAGGGCCCTGCTCCTTGGAGCTTACAATCTAGGAGGGAGGGGATAGTGGTACAAGAGGTAATTAGCTGTGGGGGATGGAGTGGTAGGAAGAGTAGAGGGTTCCAGTATTAGCTGGGGTCGGGGTAGGCTTCCCTGAAGAGATGGGTTTTCAGAGTGCGCCTAAAAGTGAGCAGAGTAGGCGATAGCCTGATAGACTGGGGTAGGGAGTTCCAGAGGATGGGTAAAGCCCTTGAGAAATCCTGGCTTGGGAGGAGGAGACAAGGGAGCTAGAGAGTAGGAGGTCTTGCAAGGAGCGGAGAGTACGGTTTGGGTGGTATTTAGAGACAAGGTCGGTGATGTAATTAGGGGCAGTGTTATGAACGGCTTTGTACGTCAGTGTTAGTGTTTTGAATTTTATCCGTTGGGCAATTGGGAGCCAGTGGAGGGATTGGCAGAGAGGAGTGTTTTTGGGTACCAGCGGTTAAGAGGCGCTCAGAGCGGAATATTGGGTTAGATTTGCTGACTTGACATAGGGTAAATAGATGGGAGTGAATTGTAAAATAGCTTAAAGCTAAATTATAGGCATTTAGTGAAAGAAAATGCTAATTAACCACTTCAAGTCCGGACACTTTCACCACCCTCCAGTCCAGGCCAGCTTTCAGCACTATCACTTTTTGAGTGATAATTACTCAACACTGTACCCATATGAAATTTTTTTTTGAGACAGATGGTTTTCTTTTGGTGATCTTTGATTTTTCACCACTGGGCTTTTTGTACTTTTTGCTATATAAATTAAATACTAAGCAAAAAAAAGTCAATATTTTTTTGTTAAAAAGCCACAAATCTTTTTTCATAAATCTAGGCCAAAATATATTTTGCTTCCTTTTTTTGGGTAAAAATAATCCAAAACTGTGTGTATTATTTAGTCTGTGTGAAAGTTAGATTCTACAAACTATGGGATATATATCTGAAAATTGATCAGTGCTGGACGCTGGTACAGGTTATGGGGCTGATCAGGACACTGGCATAGGGTATGGCGCTGATCAGGACACCGGTATAGGGTATGGCGCTGATCAGGACACTGGTAATGGGGTATGGCGGTGTTATTGTGAGCAATGGGACAGATGACAAGGGCTGGCTGCATTGTTTATTAGGACTACACTGGGGCAGTGATCAGGGACACTGGGCTGGATGGCACTGCAGTCTGAGAGTGTCCATGCAGCTTGACAGGCTGCTGTACACTCACAGGGTGCAGCATCAGTTCTTTCTGCTCTCACAGTGAGAGCAGAGAGAACTGATGCTTGCTTTTAGCTTTCCATTGTTATTTATGTGATTGCTGTGATTGGACACAGCAATCACGTGATAAAATACCATGTGATCACCCGTACACTGCAGTAATGTCATCCGCTGTGTCTGGGTGACACATGGATCGTTGGGTTCCTGGGTGTGTGCTCTGTGAGCCACGCAGGAGCCACCAATGTGGGCTGACATACAGGTACATTAGCCCGCATTGACAGTGCTTCCTGCCCGCCGTTTTATAGGCTGTGGGTGGAAGGGAAGCAGTTAATTTAGGTCATTTATATTTACTTTTATGAAGATGGTGTGAATACCTGAATATGTTTTCATATAACCTTCAAGTTATATGGTATACTGCAGCAATGAGAGAGGGACAGCACTAGCAGCCAATCAGGCTTTTCAGCAGTGCACACATACTTGTATTGGAGAGATGAGTGGTGTATAAATGTCTTTCTGCTCCTTTATTGTCCAGTCAGCAGACTGGGGGTTTGTTCTTGACCAAGCTGTGCTGCTTGGCATGGACACTTGTTTCATGAAGTTTGTGGAACAGACTTACAAATCCCATGGCAGGTAAAGTAGTCTCTGTATATTGGTGCTCCATATTTGAAGCCTGTACCCAGAAGCTTCATAAGAATGAATTGAGAATACAGCTATGTAATCTGGTCAGCGATCAGGACAGATGAGTATAAGACTGAGAGGTGGCCTGAGGGAAGATTACTAAAGTTGCAGTTATAGCAGGTACAATAAGTATGGAACACGTCACCATTTTTTTTCAGTAAATCTATATTTAAAAGGTGTTATTGTCATAAAATTTGCACCACATAATGGTAACAACCCATGCAATCCAGACATACAGAGAAACCAAAACAAGTTCAGAAATTAAGTTATGTGTAATAAAATGGAATGACACAGGGAAAAAGTATTGAACACATGAAGAAAGGGAGGTACAAAAAGGCATGGAAAGCCAAGACTGTAGAAGAGGATGAAAGAACGAGTGCACAAACCTTGCGCATTACCTCGATAAACACTGACTTATTTTATTTAGGAAATATACTCACAAAAGTGACGGTAAAACAGACACAAGTTAGCCATAATCCACACAGGGCTACAGGTAAATCCACTGAACTGCTTTAATACTGACACTCAGTGGGTGAATGTTTCCTTGCTATGGGAACTCTGCTATACTGAAGTTTCTATCTGCCAAACCCAGCTCTGATGAAGAAGGGAGTGCCCTTCGAAACGCGTTAGCTTCTATTCCCCCCCCTCCCCTTTGGATTTACCTGTAACCCTGTGTGGATTATGGCTAATTTATGCCTGTTTTACTGTCACTTTTGTGAGTATATTTCCTGAATAAAATAAAATTGGTCACTATTTATCAAGGTAATGTGCAAGGTTTGTGCGCTCTCTTTCATCCTCTTCTACAGTTTTATCAAGCTTCCCCAGCTTCATGATAGAGTTGCACAACCTCTGATCACCAGCAGATGAACACGCTGTTTATTACTAATGCCCGTTTGATCTGAGTCTTTGAATGCAGGAGATAATGGATCTATGGAAAGCCAAGACACCAGCTGAAATCCATCAGTAATTAGAAAGCAATCCTGCCCCTGGTCAGTGCAAATTAATATCAGCTGGTCCAGTCCCAACTGATGGCCTATAAAAAGGTGTCTCATTATCAAGGTGTCACTCAAGAAACATCTCATGATGGGTAAAAGCAAAGAACTCTCTCAGAACCTTCACAACCTTATTGTTTCAAAACATACAGATGTCATTGGTTACAGAAGGATTTCTAAACTTCTGAATATTCTCGCAAGATTTCTGACAGAGGAGTGAAAAGAATTATTAGAAGAGTTGTGCAAGAGATAAGGAGAACTTGTGGAGATCTTCAGAAAGACCTGGAATTAGCAGGTACAAATGTTTCAAAGAAAGTAATGCACTGAACCGCCATGGCCTGTATGCACGCTCACCACACAGGACTCCATTGCTGAAGAAAAAACATGTTGAAGCGCATTTAAAATTTGCTGCACAACAGTTAGACAAGCCTGTGAAATACTGGGAGAATATAGTCTGGTCAGATGAGACCAACATTGAACTCTTTGGATGTCATAATACACACCATGTTTGGAAGTCAAATGGCCCTGCACATCACCCCAAAAACACCATATCAACAGTGACGTTTTGGAGGTGGGAACATTCTGATGTGGGGCTGTTTTTCAGCATACGGTACTGGAAAGCATCCTATCATTGAAAGAAAGATGAATGGTAAAATGTACCAAGACATTCTTGATAAAAATCTGCTGCCATCTACCAGGATGATGAAGATGGAATGATGGTGGACATTTCAGCAAGACAATGATCCCAAACACAAAGCCAAGGGAATGCTCAGTCGGTTTCAAAGAGAGAAACTAAAGCTGCTAGAATGGCCCAGCCAATCACCTGGCTGGAATCCAATAAAAAATCTTTGGAAAGAACTGACAGAGTTCATAGAACTGGCCCACGGAACCTTCTAGGTTTGAAGACTGTGTGGAAAAATGTGCCAAAGTCACACTTAAGCAATGCATGTGACTAGTTCCTGCATACAGGAGGAGTCTTGTAGCGGTCATTACCCACAGAGGATTTTGTACCAAATATTAAGTAAATTTCAGTTGTCGTATACTTTTTCCCGGTGTCATTCCATTTTATTACACACAACTCAATTTCTGAATGTATTTGTTTTGGTCTCTTTGTATGTATGAATTGCATGGGTTGTTACCGACATGTGGTGAAACTTTCAGGTCAATAGCACCTTTAGAAATATATTTACTGAGGAAAATGGTGACGTGTTCAATACTTATTTTGCCCGCTGTGTAAGCTGAACTCCAGCAGGTAAATAATAAGTATGGCCAGCACTTTTCTTCCTTTTGCTGTTAGTTGATATCAGAGTTGTTCCACGGTCTGGCAGGATCACAACCATATTGTCGAGGAACTTCCCACCTGCTTGATTGACACTTGATTCTGGCTCTCATTGCTCAGCTAAGAGCTAAAGCAATCTGCACCCTCCCCTCATTAGCCAGGAGCTCCAGTGAGTGCTGGAGGGACAGAGCAAAGAGCGGTGACTGACAGGCTCTGCTCCAGAAAGACCGATAAATGAGCGGTCATGTGATCACTCATCTCTCAGGCTTAGAGCCAGTGTGGGGACAGCTGCAGGATCAGACTGATACTGCAGCATGGGGGTGAGTATGATCGATAATGATCACCATAAGAGTCCATTAAATTTGTGAGTGAGGGGGCACACAGGCAGGGAGCACAGAGCACTTATCGCCTTCTGGATGTGAAAGGGATTTTTGTCCACTTGTCGATTTCACATTTAGGACTTTGGTTCACAATTTTTTGTTGTGTTCATTATTATCGCATGTTTTTCATGTAATATAACATACATTGAGGCAGCACTCCTGCTATTTTGTGTATTATGGAGGTGAATATCTATATATTTTTTTTTTTTTTTTTCAACCCCAAACTTCTTTTTAAAAAACTAAAAAATGCATCCACTCTGAATTCAGTAGTACATCCTTAACCACTTCAGCTCCGGTGATGTACCTGTATGTCGCTGGACTTTGAGTGGTTATACCACAATGATGCAGACAGACACAAGCATCATTCCAGTATCCTTTTTTTAGTGCTGTAGAACTGGCATTAGCCTTACAATAGGGTATCAGCAGTTTTTATCCAGAATGATCCCCTGCAACTCCTTCCAGCTGAAGTAACCCATAGAAATAGAACCTTTTTCTGAATCACTAGTTCATGAATTAGGTGAAGTTTTATTAGATTGATAAGTCATCATGATTTTCTGTAATTCTGCAGTTCCAGGCCCCTCCACCACACTAAGCACGATTCAGCTGCTCTCCAAGCAAAATCCCTCAAGACAGGAAGTGACAAAACTGACACAGCAGGTGAAAGCCAATGGAGCTGGTATGACAGTCCTCAGGCGGGAAGTGTCTGAGCTACGCACCAAGGTACAAGAGCAGCAGAAACAGCTACAAGACCAGGACCAGAAACTGCTAGAACAGACCCAAATCATAGGCGAGCAGAACGTGCGACTTGCTGAACTGGAGCACAAACTGCGCGAGGTCATGGAGAGGGCTGTTGGCAATCCTGGAACAAGCCCGCGTGAGGACTCCCCTCAAAAAAGGAAGAAAGTAGCTGAAGTTGCAGACTGTCCTAGGAAATCAAAGCGCCTTCGAACCAGAAAGTGAACACGACTGGACTGTTTAGCGGCATGGTTTCTGAACTGGGCCCTGGTTGGCAACCAAGGTGTAACCGATCAGCAGTGTTTGGTATAGGTTCCACTTTTTCCCTTCCATGCGGTTAAATGCCACTACAAAACAAGCACCTTGCAGGCTATGCTATAGTTTAATTGGGTATTTTGCAGCCAGTGGGAGGTAGGTTACAACAGAAATATATCTTCTCCCTCCCCCAAGGATTTACACACTGCCGTAACTGGAAGTGTCACTGTGCACTAATCTTAACACTAGCAAACACGCTTTATATGTAGTGAATGACGTTACCATATTTAATGAGGGGTCCTTCATTTTGCATTACAGCTAGCTATGTGCTCCAGCTAAAACTTTGTATTTTTTATTTAGGTTTGATAAATTAATATGGACCTGTACCTTTTTGGAAGCTGTGTCCATAAGTCATAGGAAGAGAGCAAAGGACTAGTAAACGGTAGTGCTTGTGGCCCCTTCATCTGATATTTTCTCCATTGCTGACTTACCATGTCCTGCTCGGCACTGTGTCTGTCTGTGTAGGGGCAGCCATGTTTGTAGATGAGCAGGGCTTTGCTTTCTCATGTCTGAGCTGTCTCCCTGATGGCTGGTGATGTAATGATCAGGTCTTGCAGGTCCTCAGGTACAGCTTCCCCTCCAGCAAGGACAACAATGAGCAGCACAGTAGTGTCCTCACCATATCTTATTTCAAAGATGGTAAATCTAGCAATTAGAGGCAGCAGTGCCTTAAATGATCTCCCACAGAAGATATAAAGCTGTAGACACACTTGCTTACCTGGAGACCAAAGGTAGATTTTCTTTTTTTTTTTTTTTCAGGGTGTTCCTTGGGCACAACATTTATTGATGATATAGTATAGCAAATTTTCACTTTCAAGGTTCCGGTCCACTTCAATTAGGGAAAGGGTTAATGTGTCTAAAGTTTAAAAGCTGTGTCTTCGTGGGGTTTTGCCCCACTTCCTGTCCTGACGCCAGACACTTTAACAGGAAGCAAGGGTAAATATTCACGGTGGGAACACGGACAGCGTTTAACATCTGGAGGAGGTTCTGTTCCTTGCACTACTGAAAATAGTTTTGGCTGGAGCCGGCCTTTAAAGGGATTCTGGCACAAAGAAGTTAAGTCTGTAAGAAACCTCTGCCGTAAGCTGCCAGGCTGCAACTGGGCTGGCTGATTTTGGTGGTGCAGTCAAAGCAAAGTGGCCCAAAAGTAGCACAACACTAGTTCAATGATTATTACAGTAATGGGTAAAAGGACAGTCCACCTGTGGTTCATCCATTTTATCCCCTAGCAGAAGCATTACGGCAGATTCCCCCTTAGATGACAAAGTGAGTTGTTCATATCATCTATATGGCCTCTCCGATGTATAAGTATGTGTGTAGCTGAAGGGCCTCCTCATGCCTTACCAGTACTGACCCTCATTTGTGATGTGTAAGAAGTGCTATGCCCCCTGCCCCACCTCACTAGACCTTTCCTGCTGTCCACCAGTTGCTTTGGCTAACTAGGATCTGCACCACAGTGGACACTCACAGGCAATGGTAGGTCTTTGACCGATCTCCATTCATCTGCATTTAGGAGTGAGGTCATGGACCTGGCTGTACTTACTGGCAGGGCAGAGTGAATCTCAAAAGTGGGTAAATAGAATTGTAAATTCTTTGGTGGGTTAAACTAGATATACCTATGTCTTTAGCTGTTTAACTGTAATTCTTAATGAATCTCAATGGATTTGCCCATATTTCCTTTTAAAAAAAAAAAAAAAAGACCCTCCAGCCAAACCTGTTGCGTTTTGGTTCAATATATGAAGAAAAGCCTTGACCTCTGGCCATACTCCCAGCATAACATGAATGCACTCTCCCTTGGTCACAAACCAGCGCATGCACAGGGTGCTGTTTATCCCTCTGTTGCAGCAGCGGCTGAACTCGTGTCAGTTTGAGAGCAAGGAAGAGCACTCATTCCTCTTATGCTGGGGGGGTGCTCAACAATAGGACAGTCCAGCTTCTGTGCCAAGACTGGGTGGTTCTGTTAGGTTGTTAGTTTTTTTTTTTTTTTTTTTTTTTTTTATCAACACTTTGGGGAGACAGATTGGCCTAAGGGTATGCAATGCAAACAAAGTCCCCAATTAGGCACACAGGGCATCTGAAAAAGCCCCTCTAAACTGCTGGCAGGAAAAAGCTGCCTACTGCACATGTGTTAGTTTAAATGCATTCTATTGGCCAGAATATTAATTTATTCTGGCCATTGTAATGTATTTACACGCATATGTTTTACGCAAATGGCGTTTATTTCACCTGGAACATTCCGCTCAAGAATGTGCATCTGGTGGAGCTTTTTTCTGCCTGCCTGCTCCACTTCTAATATGGCTGTGTGTGCATGGACCAATAGGCTCACATAGAGGTGCTTTTACGGGCTAAATGAAAAAACTCATTACCTGCAAAAGCTCTGTGTGCATGAGACCTTAATATGCTGGACTTTGCTTCTTTTTTTTTTCCCTAACCCCACTGGGACCCCTCCAGTGCACAATCATTTAAAAAGGAAGGAAAAAAAAAAAAAGGCAAACTTGGCCTTTAAAGTATAACTTAAAGCAAAAATGTTTTTTTTTTTTAGTTTTGGGTTGAGTGGCGATGGATTTGAATGGCTATTAGGTTTGTATATCTGTCTGTGCCACTGTTAGGGAGATTCACCTTCTTTATTTGTCCTGTTTACCATTCTTGTTGAAAGTGAAAGTAAAGTAAATCCCAAATTTTGGGTTGTTCCCAAAACAGTAATAGAGGGGAAATCTTCCAATGGGGACACTAATTCTGGTGACCTTGGTGGCTCCAAATTTGCAGGGATTTCACCTCACTGCCTATATTGGCGATGGGACAGGAACTGAAGGTGCAACTCCCCAATGGGACAGAGATCGCAAAAAAAAAAAAAAAAAATGACAGGGGTTATAACCCTTTCTTACTCTATCCAAAATGAAAAAAAATTGCCTATAGTTCTACTTTAAATATCATGATTAGAAACTTAACCTCAACTCCATTGACATTTGCAGTGGTTACGTTCAAGGGCAGACCTTGATGCAGGCTAGTCAGGTTCTTTGTAAAATAGGTTCTCTCCAGTTCAACCCATTTTTATTAATGTCTCAAATGCCCCCATGGTTAAAATAAATAGACCTGTCTAGGTGGTCACTTTTTTTTTCCAATTTAGAGCCATCCCCTCCTTCATGGTTTTGCTACAAAAAAGGGGATCAGAACCCCTTAAAGGGGAAATGCCTGTTAGTGTGTTATGTGTGACTGTATTCTGAAAGACCTTGACTGATAACGCGTTGTGTCACAGAGGCCTAAGTGGAGCGCAGCGTGGCGTCACGGAGGCCTAAGTGGTGCGCAGCGTGGCGTCACGGAGGCCTAAGTGGAGCGCGGCGTCACGGAGGCCTAAGTGGAGCGCGGCGTCACGGAGGCCTAAGTGGAGCGCGGCGTCACGGAGGCCTAAGTGGAGCGCGGCGTCACGGAGGCCTAAGTGGAGCGCGGCGTCACGGAGGCCTAAGTGGAGCGCGCGCGGTCACGGAGGCCTAAGTGGAGCGCACGGAGGCCTAAGTGGAGCGCGGCGTCACGGAGGCCTAAGTGGAGCGCGGCGTCACGGAGGCCTAAGTGGAGCGCGGCGTCACGGAGGCCTAAGTGGAGCGCAGCGTGGCGTCACGGAGGCCTAAGTGGAGCGCGGCGTCACGGAGGCCTAAGTGGAGCGCAGCGGGCGTCACGGAGGCCTAAGTGGAGCGCAGCGTGGCGTCACGGAGGCCTAAGTGGAGCGCAGCGTGGCGTCACGGAGGCCTAAGTGGAGCGCAGCTTGGCGTCACGGAGGCCTAAGTGGAGCGCAGCTTGGCGTCACGGAGGCCTAAGTGGAGCACAGCACATAAGGTATTGAAGTGCATGGCAGATGTAACATTTATATTCCTTGAGTGCAGTTTCATCAACACAGCAGTTGGGTTCAAATTCATTATAATGCTGATAAATTGCACCTTGTACAAGGGATCCACTTGGGGTTCCAAATTCTACTGTTGCAGTAAATTGACAACCTTTGTGTCATCAGCCTGCTTCCTGCATTTGTGCCTTTGTGTACTGATATAACAATGGCACAGTCTCAAATCTTCTGCAACAACTGATCCTGCATATTTCTGATGTGGCATAGCCTGGGGTTAAGTTCAGGGGACGCTTAGGACATATTGCCTTTGCACTTGATTTCACCCCCTTCCTCCTTCATGGCATAATTTGGCCAGCTTTGCCTTCCCTGTGCAGCAAACCACAATACAGGAACATGCAAATATGTTTCCTGCACCCCTCTTTTAGACTACTAGTAATGGCAGAGGCAGCCATTTTATGTTTTGTAATGTTGCTAGTTTCTAGCATGCCTGCTGCAATAATTTGGATCAAAAAATGGCTGCCTCAGATCTGGCCCCGTACATCAAAGAGCTTGTGAGAAGCGTTGAATCAAGTCAGGTTACGAATGAGGCTAGATGACAGGTGCACTTTACCTCCACCTCCCCTTCCCAAAATACATCACCCACCCCACATTCCTGACAGAGCAGCTCCACTACATTACAAATGGCTTGTTACCTTACAAGCATGTCATGACCAGGTTACAAAGAGATCGAGAAGATAGGACACTGGTTTATACTTTGTATATGATATGCTTAGCCTTTTTAAGTGTTGTTTTATGTTTTCCGTTTCTTACTGGTAACCTAACTCCTCAGTGCCTACTTTTCCTGTTAGCGGATCCGTAACACCCAGACGTCGGACTGTTAGAGGTTTTCAGATTCTTTCTCTGGTTCTACATGGAGCGAGACAACAAAGGAAACTGTATGTGTGACCCTGTCTCTTTAATTTGAGTTCGATGCTGGGGCACTGGTTTATCATTACCAATGTCTGAAAAGCCAGTCTTTGTAAAACATCACTTAGACTTGAATTGTGTATACACAGTATATATAAATATCCGTATA